ACCTTCTAAAATCAAAGATTTTAATTTAAAGATTAATTTTAGGGTTTATGTTCTATACAGAAACATGAAATTTGCATGTAAACTTACGTATAATTTGTCCCAACCACCGCTCCGGGTTTATGCGGTCTTCCTCGAACATTGCTAAAATTGAAATAATTATTATTTAAAAATTTAAAAACCTGGATTATTATACAATCAAATTTTAAAAACTTACGTGGGGGGCTTTGTTGTAACAAAACTTCCTCTTCCTCCCCATATATGGGTCTTCTAAATTCAATATTGTACAACATTTTTTCTCTCTCGTCGATTTAGACTTGGACTATTTGTCGATGACTTCTGGGTGACTTTTATATGGTCTATCGCTATCTCTTTCTAACATACATGTCTCGTTAGGAGAGGGTTGCTCTAACAAATGTGCAAAATCAGCACAGCCTAACGTGCTCCTTAATAGTATCATCATATGTCGCACATGCAGTCAACCACATCCTCACATTGATGTATCAGCACAAAAAATATTGCATTGTAATGCTTAAGATTGCACTGAGAATTTCTCAATTTATCGTTCAATTAGTCAATTAATGTGCGGACATGTATATCAGATCCGGCTCACTATACAGACACCGTTGACATTGTCGTATTTCATCGGTGTAAACCATAGATTCATTACATTCATCGTCCTAATTGATTTCATCTATTTTTGGCCACTGTAAACTGTCTCGATAGCACATACAAAGTTTGAGTTTATCGTGTCGCTCTATCATCAAAATTGGCATATCAGCATTCCACAAATCATATAAATGTATGTTATGAAACAACACTATATGTGTAAACTTGCCACTACCTGCCGGAATTTTTATATAGAAATTTTGAAGGTTAAAGTTATTCAGCACTCTGATGTCTGGATGCATTATAAGCTCATTCAATTTAGTGGTTATTTCACTTGCATTCTCAGTCGTGATCCTACGTGCATCATCCACTATCTGATTGATGTGCTCCTGCACTAAGTCACGGAGCCAACATTTTTGAGAGTAAAACCTGAGAACTTCAACATTTTCTTTCACACCGCGTTTGTTTATTCACCGCAAACCAAGTTCTCCGTCACGCAAAAACTGCACCATCGACATCCTTCTTGATTTTTCCTCCATTTTAGCCGTTCAATTTGTTACTTGTGTCCCGTATCTGTTGCTGCTTGGGTCTCGACTGAACTATGCACTGTTGAAACACTCTTAATTTTATATGTTTTAAAATGTGCAAAATATGTATACTTCTATGACCTTTGTAATAATATCTTGTTTCACATTTTTCTGCGCATCTTACTGTCCACCACAAATCGAAACGACAGCACTTAAATGCTACATTGTGACGCATAAGAGAGAGATCTTACATGAATACTTTTGGACTGCACTTTTGATATAAATATTGGAATACACCGTTTCGGTAATCATTTTTATGATTTTTGGTAGCCGTTATCGTTTCATTACCGTTTCTTTTCCGTTTTTTATTGTTCTTTACTGTTTCATTCCCGTTATTTACCGTTTTTACCGTTCTTGACCGTTTTATTACTGTTTCTTTTCCGTTTTTTACCGTTCTTTACCGTTTTATTACTGTTTTATTGCCGTTCTTTACCGTTTCTTTACCGTTTCATTCCCGTTCTTTACCGTTTTTTACCGTTCTTTACCGTTTTATTACTGTTTTATTGCCGTTCTTTACCGTTTCTTTACCGTTTCATTCCCGTTCTTTACCGTTTTTTACCGTTCTTTACCGTTTTTTACTGTTTCTTTACCGTTTTATTACCGTTTTAATGCCGTTTTTTTACCGTTTCATTCCCGTTCTTTACCGTTCTTTACCGTTTTTTATCGTTCTTTATCGTTTCTTTACCGTTTTATTACCGTTTCATTACCGTTTCATTCCCGTTTCTTACATAACATATTATCCATGATACATAGCACGCAAACGCTTGCAAAATCTTGTCGCGGGGACACAGTGTACGTGCTCATTAGTAATAAGAATATCATGTGTCACATTCCTTTTCTTGCGCATCTAATTGTTGAATGCATACGTTTGCAGAATATTAGAGTTTACAGCTGTGAATAAAAAAAACCACGCTGCGAAATACGCGAACGGACGGCGTGGACGGCGCAAAACGGCCGCAAAATCCGCCGCAAAAACCGCCGCAAAAAAACGGCCACAAAAACCGCCGCAAAAAACGGCCGCAGGTCGGTAAAATGATCTATCAAAAGCAGATAGAAAAAATTATATAACATCGGTAATTACCGATCATCGGTATTATGTAAATATGACAGTAAAAGTTATGTAAATACGAGGTCTGTTCAAAAAGTATCGCGAATTTTGTGTTTTTTCAAAAATTATTTATTTATTCATGAATATCTATTTTGTCCCCTTCAAAGTAATCCCCATCAGATATTATACACTTGTGCCAACGTTTTTTCCAATCCTCGAAGCATTTCAAAAAATCATTTTTTGTGATCTTGTTCAGCTCCTCCTTCGATGCCGTCTTTATCTCCTCAATCGTAGCGTAGCGTCGTCCTTTCATGTGCCTCTTCCACGTCATAACCATAAACCCATGATTCGTCACCAGTTATGACCCTCTGGAGCAAATTTGGGTCGTCGCGGACAGAGTCCAACAGCTCCCTAGCAATGTTAATGCGATGCTGTTTTTGGTCGAAATTGAGCAATTTTGGTACGAATTTCGCGGCGACCCGTCTCATGCCCAAATCATTAGTAAAAATCGAATGGCACGAGCCAATCGATATGTTTAGGTCCTCAGCAACTTCTCTAACGGTGATTCGACGATTGGCCAATACTATTTTCTTCACTTCATCAATGTTTTCGTCTGTTGTTGACATGCTCGGGCGTCCGGCACGCTCTTCGTCGTTCACATCTTCTCGGCCCTCTGAGAACATTTTGTACCACCGATAAACGTTGCTTCGGTCCAAGGTAGCTTCACCATATGCCACAGTCAACATTCGGAATGCGTCCGCGCACTTAATTTTGTTTTTCACACAAAATTTGATACAGATTCTTTGATCCATTTTTTGGAA